GGTCATATGATCAAAATTCAGTTGCTTGGCAATTGGAATGTATTTATGATGGTTACGGTGTCCTAGGGTCACCTTTTGCGACATTCAGGTCAATGGGAACCCAGATTCATTTACTGTAACAAGTGCACATGGCAAGAAATTTAACAATTGCAGTGATTCATTTAACAACTGTGGCAAGAAAGGTTGTAAACGAATCAAAATCCACTTAATTATTGTCTTGTTTAGCAATGAAAATTTTGGGCTCAATTGTGGTCATAAGTTGAAGACTATTTGTAAACAAACCCACACCAGCTTTCTTTTAAATTAGTAAATTAAGTTATTATCCATAGTTAAAGAGATTGTTTCTTTGCTGATAGAAGAGAAGAGAACAATCCCATTCTGAAGTGATTTATATTCACAAAGTAAAGGAAAAGTTGTTGCAATAAACTTGAGGGGATGGAGTTTCTCAGGGCATGAAGGGTGGGACTCCAAAAGTTTTCTTAGTGGACTTCATGTTAGACTTCACTCATACCAATGCTCAGACTTAATGCTTAGCAGGCACAGATCAAGGACATCGGTCTTTGATAAATTAGACCGATACTAAAATGTCATGATTAGAAGAAGAAAAAAGATCAACTGGCACCTATAAACCTTAAATTGTGTGTGTGTTCTCTCTCCCTCCCTCCCTCCTGTGGAGGTGGGAAGAGGCATTGCTGTTATCTGTGCTTTGTTCATTCATCAAAGTGGCTTTTAAGACAGCTTGCCGAATATTTAGAGATCTTGCTGAAAGAATAATGAATAGAATAGAATAGAATAGAATAGAATAGAATAGAATAGAATAGAATAGAATAGAATAGAATAGAATATGCTTTGTTGGCTAAGTGTGATTGGGGACACAAGAAATTTTCTCCGGTCCGATGTATATAAAAACAACAAAGTAAGATACCAGTAGGAGAAGGTAATAGGAAATATGATAATAGTAATACAGCCTTACTACATGGCCAAATTTCCTTAGACATAAGACAGTTCTGTGGGAATTAGGTGTTCAGCAGAATGATGGCAGGACGGAAAAAAAAATATGTCTACTTGTTTTGGAATGTAATGCCCTATAGCAGTGTCCTGAGGGGAGGAATTGAAACAGTGAAGTAATTTCATTGAAAGGGAAGGAAAAAAGGTTTACTTTTAAGAAGACGTATGAGCTACATAAATTCTTTATAATGCTTTTGTAAGTGGTGAATAAAGAATTGTTTCAGAAATTTCATCTGAAAGATAAATCAAAATGATCTTGATTGCTGTTGTCATCACTAGATATTTTCTGTTTTTCACAAAGTTCTAAAAGTGCTTCCATCTGATGTAACATAGAACTCCAGATAATAGAAAACTGTATTCATTTAAGTCTTGAGTATGTGTAGCTTCCATTAAGATATCTAGTTGAAACTATAGACATCAGGGAAAGGGGCAGGGCGAAGTTCACACCTTATTCTTAATCTAGATGGAGCCCTCACACATGATATGAATGTGTATTTTGTAGCACTCAGCTTTATGTATTCTAGATTTTGAAAAAGATTCTGTAACTTTTCTTAGTCCTGGTGTAGAATTCTCACCATTGTCTGATAGTGAGAGAATTCACACATCCTGCTGTACCATAATGTATAAATCCAACCATTGTGATTTGTAAATTATGGCTTATACTACAGTGGGGTAAAAAAGTATTTAGTCAGCCACCAATTGTGCAAGTTCTCCCACTTAAAAAGATGAGAGAGGCCTGTAATTGTCATCATAGGTAGACCTCAACTATGAGAGACAAAATGAGAAAACAAATCCAGACAATCACATTGTCTGATTTGGAAAGAATTTATTTGCAAATTATGGTGGAAAATAAGTATATGGTCACCTACAAACAAACAAGATTTCTGGCTCTCACAAACCTGTAACTTCTTCTTTAAGAGGCTCCTCTGTCCTCCACTCATTACCTGTATTAATGGCACCTGTTTGAACTTGTTATCAGTATAAAAGACACCTGTCCACAATCTCAAACAGTCATACTCCAAACTCCACTATGATGAAGACCAAAGAGCTGTCGAAGGACACCAAAAACAAAATTGTAGACCTGCACCAGGCTGGGAAGACTGAATCTGCAATAGGCAAGCAGCTTGGTGTGAAGAAATCAACTATGGGAGCAATAATTAGAAAATGGAAGACATACAAGACCACTGATTATCTCCCTCGATCTGAGGCTCTACGCAAGATCTCACCCCGTGGGGTCAACATGATCACAAGAACAGTGAGCAAAAATCCCAGAACCACATGGGGGGACCTAGTGAATGACCTGCAGAGAGCTGGGACCAACGTAACAAAGGCAACCATCAGTAACACACTACGCCATCAGGGACTCAGATCCTGTAGTGCCAGGCGTGTCCCCTTGCTTAAGCCAGTACATGTCCGGGCCCGTCTGAAGTTTGCTAGTGAGCATTTGGATGATCCAGAAGAGGATTGGGAGAATGTCATATGGTCAGATGAAACCAAAGTAGAACTGTTTGGTAGAAACACAACTCGTCGTGTTTGGAGGAGAGAGAATGCTGAGTTGCATCCAAAGAACACCATACCTACTGTGAAGCAAGGGAGTGGCAACATCATGCTTTGGGGCTGTTTCTCTGCAAAGGGACCAGGACGAGTGATCCGTGTACAGGAAAGAATGAATGGGGCCATGTATCGTGAGATTTTGAGTGCAAACCTCCTTCCATCAGCAACGGCATTGAAGATGAAACGTGGCTGGGCCTTTCAGCATGACAATGATCCCAAACACACCGCCCGGGCAACGGAGGAGTGGCTTTGTAAGAAGCATTTCAAGGTCCTTGAGTGTCCTAGCCAGTCTCCAGATCTCAACCCCATAGAAAACCTTTGGAGGGAGTTGAAAGTCCGTGTTGCCCAGTGACAGCCCCAAAACATCACTGCTCTAGAGGCAGGAATGGGCCAACATACCAGCAACAGTGTGTGCCAACCTTGTGAAGATTTACAGAAAACGTTTGACCTCTGTCATTGCCAACAAAGGATATATAACAAACTATTGAGATGAACTTTTGATATTGACCACATACTTATTTTCCACCATAATTTGCAAATAAATTCTTTCCAAATCAGACAATGTGATTGTCTGGATTTGTTTTTTCATTTTGTCTCTCGTAGTTGAGGTCTACCTATGATGGCAATTACAAGCCTCTCTCATCTTTTTAAGTGGGAGAACTTGCACAATTGGTGGCTGACTAAATACTTTTTTGCCCCACTGTATATTGAAACTAATGGGTTATTCAGTAAAACACAACATAATATATGTCACAGAAGGTTTATTTCTGTTTTGTGGTAGCAGATTCAAACACATCCTTTACATTTAGAGTTGGATATTGCAAAATCATTTGCAGTGCATTCAGAAAGCATTCAGACTCCCTTCACTTTTGCCAATTTTGTTATGCTGAAATCTGCAATTTCTACAGTTGTTGAAATTCATCTTTTTCTCATTAATCTACACTCAGTACACCATAATGACAAAGTGAAAACAGAATTTTAGAAATGTCTAAAGGTTGCAGCATAATAAAACTGATAAAAGTGAAGGGGGATTGAATCTTTTCGGAATGCACTGTATATTAAAGTTGTATGATCTTCCAACTTCTTCATTCCTAAAAACAAGCACATGTAGCGAATGCACACCAAACGAGGATAGGAGGGAAAAATATAGTAAACACAGAAAGCACAGAAAACATTCAGCATGATTGAGCAGGTAAGAAATCACAGTGTAACAAAGCCCTGAACTCAGATTCTTAAATACATTTTTTCTGGATTGTGATGCCACAAATAATGTTCCTTAATTTAGTAATAGGCCGATAGCTGCATAATTGTTTCATTTTCTATCTAATAAACATTTTTCATGTAATATGATAACCATGTTCAATAAATTTCTGGCATAGTATTACTTGTTAGAATGCTATTGCTATTTACAATATGGAAATTATAATACTAGCATGTTTAAAACTTTCTGAAATTTGTAAACCAGTTTGATTGACATTTCTAGTCTAAACTTCAGTAAATCTGCTTGTTCCCAACTGTCATATCTGAATCGGTGTAAAATTGCATTTATTTTTTCCCCAAATTATGTCCCTCATATCATTTTTATGACCTCATCTCATAATTGTCTGAGTCTAGATATAGGAGGCACAAAATTAGAGCCTTTGAAGAATTTATTTCCTAAATATAATCTCTAAATTAATTCCATTCTATTTTGTTTTTCTTGGCTTGTTGTCTCATTTTCATGGAAATGATGGCCAACATTGGCTGTTTCATTGTATTTCAGGGTGTGATTAGGGTCCCAAGCCAAGGATTGACAAAATAACTTCGGTAAGCTTGAGGGCTTTTGTTACTGAGTGGTTTCTGAGTTCTTTATGAACATTTCTTATCCAATAGGAAAGGACAAAAAACAGAACAACTTGTTGCAGCTCGTTGGTGCTAAGTTTCTAAGTTTGAGGTATGGCTTTGTTAGAGTTCTTGGGTGCTTTCTCTTGAGAATATTAAGATTAGGATTTATTTGGAACTAAGTGTATAGTCTGAAATATAAAGCTTTTCTACCCCTACAGATTATATTCTGACATAACTAGTCCTCCTTTTTTTCCTTTTTCTCTTTTCATTTTAGTCTGTTTTTTTTTAACGTTCTGCTGACTTGAATGGAGATTACTTGGAAACTGAAAAAAGAAAAGGCTGATCTGAGGAATAATTTTCTCCTACTTCCCAAAATTTAAAACCTGCATCATTGAACTATTCTCTTACCTGCCTTTTTATTATAATTAATAGCAATAGTAAAAAATTTAACATATTTAGTTGTATTATTTTCATGGTATTAAATTTCAGAATTGTCTATTTTAGGTCCCTACCCTGCTGCTACAGATACATTTACTTAATATACCCTTACATTTTTTCTAAAAACTTGAAAACTTTAATCAATTCTTAAGAAGTGTTTCTTTTCTTTTTTACAGAATGCTGCCTTTTTGTATGGCCTTGGCTTGGTCTACTTCCATTACAACGCATTTCAGTGGTATGTGGCAAAAAAAGCTGGGAGTGTTTTTATTTTGCTAATTGTCTACAATTTATTGGGCACTGAAAGAAATGAAAGAAAAAGTAGTATAGTTTTTAAAGAACAGTTTTAAACAACTTTTTAAAACTACAGTGTAGATTGCTTAACAATAAGAGTTAGCTTGACCTCTCTATATGCCTTGTCCTCTGTAATACTAGTTTCATCATCCTTAGTTGGAATGGCCACTGATTTATTCAGCACAAAAGTATGGAATGTTAGTATTCTCAGCCTTGGCCAAAACAAAATATGAAGGAATGTGAAATATTCAGTGTTCCTTTTCTTCTTATCTGCCCTCATTTTCTCAAGTACCTTCCTTACTTATTCTTAGATGCTCTGACATCCTAGTCTAGCATATTTCTCTCCCACCTGTTAAATTAGCAGGGAAGATTTGTCACATCATTAATGTTTTGGTCCATATTCAGAACAATGTGTCTTTATGTGTGGACCCAAATGTTCCTTTCATAAGAAGAGTTTGGGGGGTGGTTATGGTTCAGCTTCAGTTTCTTTAAAATTGTTTTTGATCCAATATTAATGCAATTTTGAACTTTCTTTTGAGGCTCAAAATTCATAATTATTTGTCCTGCATTTATGAACAAATGTCATTCTTTTAACTATTTTTTTATAAATTGGCAACAATTTTAAATCTCTAGATCACTGATTTTTAGATTGATTGCCTCGTAAATATTGTTGGGATTTATTTATAAAGAGATTCCCTGAAGAAGGGAAAGCCCTATCATTTTCTACAGCGGGTCATGTACTATACTACATTTCTGTCTGATAATTGAGATTGAATCATACATTTAGAAGAAAATATTAAGCTTATTCATGCAATCAATCATCAATAGATTATGTTTAGAGCTTTTGGTAAACATTTTTTTCTTTCCCAGTCAAAATGTTGGTGCTTCTAGGAAGTAAATTTATTTAACATTAATGCAGTACAAAAATGATTGTTGAACTAAGACTATATGTTAAAACATTAATTTTCTTATTTTTGTCAATTAAATTATTTCAGAACTTGCCTTAATATTCTGCGTAGTATTTCCTCCGTCCCTGAATAGTTTGGTCTCTGTCATTCACCATTATAACATATATATCTGAACATTTGGAATTTGGAACATCTTTGGTTTGTTTTTGATCACAAAAACACTAGCAATTTTGTCCTTAGGTTAAAATTATTTTGCTTTATTGGATTATTTTTCATTTTTTGCTTTTCTACAAGATTTGCCCTCCCATTGCAGGCATCCAACTTTGACTTTATGGGTTAAGTTCAGGTATTCAGGTATTAATTTTTGGCTTGGTGAAGTTTGTTCAGTATTTGTAAGCCATTCTTTGAGATCAACTACCAATAGCAACAGATTCCAAAGCCATTATAGCCCACTTCACTTCATCCAAACTTTCTGTTCTAATCTAAAAATTGTTTGGTGATTTTCTCTTCTCTGAGAGATTGGGTAATTTTACCTTCCACAGTAGATCTTCAGCTCATTCTTATGCTTTTATTGGTATTGAAGAAATTTCCATTAACAGATGCAAATTTATTCTTTAAAAAATGTCTTCCCTGATTCTAGTCAAAATAAAAAGGAAGTTTTCATTGCGTCTAGCAGTCTCAGGTTCCTCTCATATCTGCCGTTCCACCTCCCTTGTTCTGTCTTTGTTAATATCAGAGTCCTTGAGCCTATGGCTACTATTCCAATTGATTTCCTCTGTTGGAAGATAGCTTTTTGGGTAGTTGTCACATTTTTTAATCAAATTGAACAATTTTGTCTTATAAAGAAATCCTCCCTCATTTTTCATTGGTTTGTTTCATTTCTCAAAATGTCAGTCTCAGATTAATACTAGAATCAAGACGTTTATGGAACTTACCATTTTTCCCAGTCCATCGGCACCATAGGAAACAGTTTTGAGTGCCCATTATGATCTCACTATTTATATGAACCATACAGCACCATTTTGCCATGATATTTATTCTTGGGCTTTCAAGACTCATCTAAAAATCAATCTTTCACACACTGTATTTTTCAAATGGATAGCCAATGCTACTTTGCTATGAGACAGTCAAATAGCTGTGCTTGCTTCACTCCACAAGCAATGTCAGCACTAGCATATATTTTGTGGGACAATTTTATTTATTTGATAAAATTTGTGTGCTACCTAATAATTATGTGTCCCTGTGGCTTAGAACAAAATAAAATACAATAAAAATATTCACAATAAGAAAAACAAATACTGTATAAAGTATCCATGATATTCAAACAATTAAAACAATTAAAACAATAAACATGTTTTTTTGCATTGCTCTCATAACCCCAGAGCCTATAACAATTAAAATAGCCTCTGAAACAAAACAAAAAAAATCCAACCCAAACTAAAATATAGTGAAGAACAAATTATATGAAGAGCCACATCCCAAAATCATTTGAACCAATTTATTTCATCTGCATATATATGTCATTACTCAAATGACATAAACCTTTGTGAACTATGTAGAATTAATATAAAAGTAATGTAAATTTAATTGCCCCATCCAAACAATTTAAAGTACAACCAAATTTATTTGTTATTGTTGAGGGATGTCAAGAAAAAAATTGAATCTGTTGCATCTGAAGTCTACTAAATGTGGTTTGTTGAATTGAGATTTTACTTGCACTGTCAATTATAATATAATAGAGAAAATTATATGATCTTGCTTTTTTAAAGAACTAATTGTGTTCCAGCTTAATTTCCAGAAATTATTCAATTACAGTTTGCTTTATTTTCAGTTTGCCAGGATGATAAATAATCAGGAAATCTAACAAGTGAAATCTAAATAGCACTTGGAGATTGATGGAACATGCTTACGCTGAATTGTGATAGGAAGACAACTGGCTACAATAAATTATGTAGCTAGTGATGAAAGAAAGTAGAAATTGCAGGTTTGTTTAGTTAGTCAGAGTCTTCTAGGAATATCCTACAAATATTATAAAAAAATAAATAACTTTAATATGATTAAACTTTCTCAAGGAAGGCTTTGGTCACTGGATCCTCAAGAGTTCTTGTTCACTGTTCACGATTTTTAAGTCGTTGACATGTCCTGTTGAAGTGAATCAAAAGTTTACAGATTATGCTTCTGATGCTATAAAGGTTTTAATATTTTTTTAGTTTTTTGCAAATAAATATGATTTAATTTGCTATAGCTACCCGTTTGCACACTTTTGTGAAATGTAGATGTAATAAAGTATTAATGCTTACCTGCTTTTGATGGTAATTAGTGTATTTAATAGATATTTATTCTGATATAAATATTAGTATAATTTGGTTTCAGAATTAAACAAATTTTAAAACTCTATTTGAAACCATACACTTACTATTTAGTTGTTCTCCTTAAAGCAGCGGTTTCCAACCTTTTTGGCTCTGAGGACTGGTGGGGCGGCGGCAGCACGGGGGGGAGGAGAGAGATGGTTTTGTGTGCACATGCCCCGCTTATGCAGACTGAGCTTCCCACTCTCACTTGCCATTTGCATGGCCCGGTTCCCAATGAGTCATGGTCCTATACCGGGCCGTAACCTGGGGGTTGGGTAACCTGCCTTAAAATATCTAAAAGGAATTAATTTATTTGTTTGTTTGTTTGTCACCAGGAGGTAACTAGTCCCTGCAATTTTCCCAGGAAGGTTTTTCAGAAATGGTTTTCCATTACCTTGTTCTAGGGCTGAGAGAGAATGACTGCCTCAAGGTCACCCAGCTGGCTTCATGCTTGAGGCAGAACTAGAACTCATGGTCTCCTGGTTTCTACTCTGATATTTTAATCACTACACCAAACTGACTCTTTTTCATTTAATATGTGCATTTTTCCTGGATAATTTTCTGTTAAGATTTTTTTTCTGTTGATCTTCACAGAACATTTCAGTATCCATTTTTGTTTTCCTAGGGCAATTAAAGCATTTCGGGAAGTGCTTTATGTTGATCCCAGTTTTTGCCGCGCCAAGGAAATTCATTTACGACTTGGGCTTATGTTCAAAGTGAAGACAGATTTTGAGTCTAGTTTTAAGGTAAGAGTTTAATTTTTAATAGCAATGGATTTATTTGTTATTACACTTGCTCGTCATAATTCAAATATGGATTTCTTTTCTTTGAATGAATGATTGAATGAATTTATAGTCTGCCTATCTCATATACTTAACTTTTGGCCCTTATATTACAGATGAGATTGGAATTTATTTATGAACGTATTGGATCTTGCAGCTTCACGTAAACTCTGAATTGAAATAATTGAATCCTTCATTTTTTTTCTATTCACTATCCAGAGAGGATTCAGAAGTGTATGTATGAAGTCTAGTCCTCATCATATGTAGAATAAGAAATAGATAATGACTGAATAGAGGATATCTTGTAAAATATTTTTATGAGCTAAAAAGCCACCTTGATTAATCTTTGAAAACTCAATTACTGAAAATTAGCAGTTCTTTTAAAATAATATTGAATATGCAGTTAATGAAATATTTTAAAAGTAAACAGGATTCTTTGCTGCTTATTAAAACACAGCCTTGGGTTCTGACTGAACTTAATCTATCTGTGATATCTTTGCAGCGTAATATAGGGAAATAGTTTTTAGTAGTCCTTGACTTGCAACCATTTGAAGTTACAACAGTGCTGAAAAAAAAAGTGACTTGTTACTGGTTCTTGCATTTATGATCATTGCAACATCACAACAGTCACGTGATCAAAATTTCAGCATTTGGCAAACAGCATGTATTTATGATAGTTGTAGAATCCCGGGGTTACTTGATCACCATTTGCAACCCTCAATGAAAGAAAACCATATTTACTTAATGACTACAACAAAACAGTAAACACAACCACATTGCTTAGAGACAGAAGTTTCAATTCCAGTTAGGGCATTAGCCAAGGATTACCTGTAATAATTTTGCCGCTGAATCATAAATATGCATCACAACTTTCCTCCCTCTCTCAGTTCTCTTATTATTGAAAAATAGTTCGAAATAATATTGAGAAGGTTTGATTATTTCTCACTGGCATAAAGCTCTTTGGACTTGGTAGAAAATATTTTTGTGGATTTAAAGAGTGTTCACAAAGTGCTACACCAGAGTGAGGATGTAGTTATCCAGTTGCATAATTACTGTTAGCATGCAAACTGAGTGATTTATGATATAGTCCATACTCCTTCTAATGACAGCAATATAAAAATCAGAAGCCTTTATGCTTTGTAGTGCAGAGTAACAAGAGATTTGGCACACTTTTAATCAGATTTTAGAAAGAAGGGACATTGTTAATATTGGATCCTTGTTTATTGTTGGACAACAAAATTAAAAAGCACTTTTGAGTGGCAACTGATAAAGAGAATTATAAACACAAGCAGATGAATAAAAAGCTGAAGAAAAGTACAGAGTCAAAATTAGAGGAGTCTAGAAACTTTTTTCACTCAGTACCTCATTCCAATAACGTTTACTGGAATTTTCCAAAGAACCTTTAACAACCTGGATTGAAATAAACTGATGTCTCAATATTTTAATACAATATTACTCTTTTAGGCATAGAATATTGCCATGTAGCAAAAGAATTGGGCTAAGCATGTGACCTTAGACCAGTGATGGTGAACCTTTTAGAGACCGAGTGCCCAAACTGCAACCCAAAACCCACTTACGCATCATCGAGTGCCGGGTAGGTGTGGCCCATTGGCTGGGTGTGGCCCATTGGCTGGTTGTGGCCCATTGGGTGGGCATGGCTGCGGTGGTAACAGCAGACTGGATGAGACTAAAAAGTTCAATCAATTCCAAATTTTTTTGCACACAGCAGCGGAGGCCTAAAGCGAAAAGGTTTTATAAAACCCAGCTGAAGGCCTAGGACTGGGGCGATGGCACGCGTGCCCCCAGAGAGGGCTCTGAGTGCCACCTCTGGCACCCATGCCATAGGTTCGCCACCACTGCCTTAGACCTAACCTTCTGTATTCATTTTATGCAGATGAAGTGCTTTGTCCTGCTTATACTGTTGATTCCTCTGTTTTGATTATGTAGTCTATAGTGGAAAAAATATATCTTAACTTCCTTTCTTTAAAACAATAGATTCTGATTTTGAAGAATTCTAGAGAACAAACAAATGAGTTGATTTAGCAGTACATATGGCAGCTTCATTTTTAACCTTGCTTGTCAGATATATTTCTGCCTGTTTGACAGCACTTTGATTATGGAAGCCTTTCTGTGTCCTAATTATATGAACAAAAGACAGCTCCCAGGATCAGGCTTCATTTATAGATTATAAGTTATCCTTCTCAAAGATTTGAACTTAGTTATGATTTTCTACCTATGGTAAACACATGTAAAAATTATTAAGTGTTTAATCTTGACTTTTTGAATGACCTGTTAAAATAAACTTCCAATTCCAGTACATCACAGCATTCAATATTTTTTTAAAAAAAAACTGATAATTTTCTTTGATTTTTTAAAAATCTAGTTCTAGTTTTAAGTGTTATTTTGACTTGGCAGTTGTGAAGCATGATGAAACAACATTGTAGAAATACCCACAAAACTTAAGAAAAAGACAATTCTAGTTTTCAAGAAAGAATGAAGAAAACTATCGTTTGCATATAAGTAAGTTAATAATTGATACCGTGTTTCCCCAAAAGTTAGATCCAGAATGATAGTAAGCCCTAGCTGATTTTGGGGGATGGGCCTAATATAAGCCCTACTCCAAAACTAAACCCTAGTTTTGGGGCGAGGCAAACCCCTAAAAATCAAGCCAGTGTGAGTGAAGCTGCCCCATACACCCCGCACCCGCTTACGTTACCGTAGAACCATCACAGCCAGGCCTCCCACACCCCGACACCTGTCGTACTGCTACTTGACTTCTTCTGCAGTCACTTGCTGCCACTTGTGGCCAGCCATGTGGCGCATTGCGCCATTGCTGCTCCTCCTGGCAGGACGATGCATTCCACTTCGGGCTGCTTCTGCTTCTTGAGGCACGAAGCCACATGGCGCTTCAGGCCATTTCCGTTGTGGAAACGGCCCAAAGAGCCACACAGCGTCCTGCCACAAGCAGCAGAAACAGCGCAAAGCACCATGTGCCGTCCTGCCGACAGAGTGACAACAGCGCAATGCGCCACATGGCATCTGGCCACAAGTGGCAGCAAGTAGCCACAGAAGTCAAGCAGCGGCGTGACAGGTGTCGGGATGTGGGAGGCCTGGCTGTGGTGGTCCTAAGGTAAGAAATTCTCTGAAATTAAGACCTAGTGCCTCTTTTGGAGGCAAAAAAAAATATAAGAGCGGGTCTTAATTTTGGGGAAACACAGTAGTTACCAAATACTATACTTTTAATTATTTGCAAAGATTACATCATTTTATTGTGAACTTTATCTGATTAATTACTTTTAGACAATCCTCTTCAGATTTGGATTTCTTTAGATGGACTTTTACCTTGAAATATTTGGTTGTCTGGATTCTCCTGCATATTAACTTTCATACAGTAATACCTGGCTTCAGTACTGCAATATTTGTATGCAGATATTTACTAGCATTGGTTTGGTGCAGAGATTTATAGTTGGAAGTTTAATGTGATGAGTTGGTAGTTATTGTGGTGAAGATAATAAATAGTTTATTTGGCGGTAAACCCAGAGATGTTTTTTCAAAAGGCAACTGGACTTTCTTTGTTTTTCCTTGAAGATGTTTTGCTTCTCATCTAAGAAGTTCTTCAGTTCTGACTGAATGGTAGAGAATGGAAGGGTTTATATTCCGTGCAGTCATCTGGTTGTTAGCCCTCTCTCTGAGAGTCGTTGAGGCCACTTGGAGCTTTATCTGTGCCCTCATGGTTACCCGAATAGCGCAAATGGGTATGGAACCTTCTTGGAACCACTGAACGTTCTGCACCCATTTGCACAATGTAGGTAATCATGAGGATACAAATAAAAACCTCCAAGTAGCCTCAACATTCAGAGAGAATGCTAACGACCAGATGCCTGCAAGGAATATAAATCCTTCCATTCTCTACCATTCAGTCAGAACTGAAGAAACGTCTTGGACGAGAAGCAAAAAATCTTCAAGGGAAAACAAAGAAAGTCCAGTTGCCTTTGAAAAAAGTACCTTAGGGACAATCATGACCTGGATGATTGAGAATCTCCAAAGACATTTGGAGGTAAAGGAGGTTTGTTCTACATATTTTTTAATTTTTAAAAAAAAAAATACTTCTCAGAATGAACTTTGGTGGACATACTAGATTGTTCAAAATTCATAGATTTGTTCATGGATGCACATTAATAATTAGAAGTAACTATACAATATATTGCTAAATTATTTTTGTTTATATATCTGTACCTTCTGATGTTGGCATGTGCACTCTGTTGTGCAAATGAACATAAATCTTGGTAATATTTTCTTTGCAGGAGAGTTTCATAAATATATTTATACTTCAATAGATATAAGAGGAACATTTCAGAAAGCAATGTATTTTTTTAAAAGGGCAAACAACTTATGGATAACCAATATTATTTTTGTAAGATTTATTAGTTTGTGTGACTGTATATACATACAGTTTGTTTTTATATATAAGTTCATTTAAATTGTTGTAACTATAGCAGATTTTATGATCCAATTAATGTATTATTTACAATGCCTAATTTGATTTTTTTATTTGATTATATTGATCATTAATGATCTTTGATTTAAAATTCTTATGTGATTATGCTTTATGTGTTTGATGGGAGTGAAAATTTATAAAAGTATGTATCATTTTTCTGTTAATATCAGTATCATTATCAGTTGCTTGACTACAAATTAGAATTTTTTGCAACATTGTTTATATTTTTAGAAATTTAATTGGCTTTCTGTTCACAATTCTGTTATTTAACTATATGTTAATGATTGTGTTATGAAAAGATTTTCATTCATTGAGTTATTACAATGAAAATATGTTTCAAATATTTCCAAGTATTTTTAAAAAATGATTAGTTTTCATCAGAAATATTAATTATATTGTATCATTTTGCAGCATTTTCAGTTAGCTTTGATTGATTGCAATCCTTGCACTTTGTCCAATGCTGAAAGTAAGTATTTTAAGCATTTATTACAGTTGTATTTAATGTAATCATTTTATATCCTGTATCATATCCTTATAATTAATTTCTATGGTTAGTATGATGATTTACATTTCATATAGTACCTTGTAACTGGCATTAAAGTGTGTGAGTGTGTGTGTGTATGTATGTGTGTATATTTTACATTTACAGAGAAGTCTTGTAATTAGCTTCTTGATAAATGTTGGACCAATACATTACAAATAATTATTCTGAACAATTTCTCATGAATGGTCATTGTTTAATTTTACCTTGGTAATCTTTTCCTTATAATGAGAAATAAACTCAGACATTAGTATAACAATAACAACAACAACAACAACAATGAAAAAGCATTCTTTATTAAACCAGTGTCATCATTTGTGTATAAGTAAATGGGATATGGCTGCATATAGCTGAAAGTACCCCTACTTGGAGTGTCTTTCATATACTACCTGATTTAGAATAGTGCCAGTCATTTAGCTATGGTGAATCTCAATTAAACATATAAAAGACAATAGTTTGTTAAGAGCTTGGAAAAGGGAACAAAGGGAGCAAGTCTCCTGGTCCACATTTCCAAAGTATTCATTATTGTTTGAAATGATCACCTGATACAATACTTTGTCAAGTAAACATTCTACCACAGCTACCTCTTAGAAAAAAATGCCTGTCTGAGCTCCAGGTTACATGAGAACTTCACTCTGGAAGTAACTTCAGAGGATGCTCTTGCATAGCCTCACAGCCTCTGAAAACAGCAAGAAAATATGCTTCATTCTTGCACATCTTTTGAGGGTCTGGAGGCTGCATGAAAGCACACCACATTCTCATGTGGCTTCTGCAATCTCAAAAAACAAGCAAGAATGGAGGGGATGTTGGCATGTCATCTGTAACACACAGGACATAGGTTCGCCATTATTTGATTAGACTGAGAAAAGTCTAAATTTACTATGATAGCTTTGCTGTTTAAAGGGACTGTAAAATTATAAAGTTTTATTTAAGCTTTATCAATTCAGAAAGCTCAGACTGCCCAAGGTGCTGCTGATACAGTTCTACTGAGGAATTATTAAATCTGTCATCTGTACTTCTATAACTGTCTGCTTTGGTACAAGAATCAAACAAGACAGATACAGACTTCAACTGATCGTTAGGAGCGCAAAAAAGACAATTGCAACCAGTCTGCCTTCACTTGAGGACCTGTATACTGCACAAATCAGAGGATTGAGAAAATATCAACAAACCCCTCACATCCTGGACATAAACTTTTAACTCAGGATACCGCTACAGGGCATTGCATGCCAAAACAACTAGACACAAGACAGTTTTTTCCCTCCTGCCATCATTCTGCTGAACACCTAATTGCCACAGTACTGTCTTATGTCTAAGGATATTTACCCATGTAGTGGGGCTATATAACTGTTATCTTCTCACCTTTCCTATTAGCTTTTCTTATTGGTATCTTAATTTTATGATTATATTACTTTGTTATTTGTATGTACACTGAGAGTTTATGCACCAGAGACAAATTCCTTGTGTGTCCAATCACACTTGGCCAATAAAGAATATTCTATTCTAGATTATTCTATTATATTCTAAAAGCTTTATTTCATTTGCCCAATTCCAAACTTAAGTTGAATTTCCCATTTATTCTCTGCATCCAGCATACGTAATCTATTAAATTTTCTTTCTGTAGCACTAACCCCATACTGTTCTTGCTTTTTGATTGTGTATCCTGAGTTGCTCTCAACCTTCATGCTTCCTTAAATAACTCCACTCATTCCTTTTAAACTTTTCCCAGAACTTGTATAATGCAATACATAATTTTCTCCAGTCTGACTTCAAAACTTATCTGTTCTTTGACTGCTTTAGCTTAATTTTTTTAATACTGGGGGCCTTACTCTTCTGGGAGCTAAAGCCAAGAGGCACTGTTTTTTCCTGGTCATGTTAATGCTTTGGAATATTTTCCTAAGTTAATATTAGACTCTCTGATGAATTTTAGGAGGATATTAAAAGTTTCACTCTTTTAAAGACCACTCCAATTGAATTCATGAATCACTTATTTTTTTTCCATCTTTTTATTAGTGTTACTGATTTATTGGGTTATTTATTATATGATCTTTTTTTAATTAAAACCCCCTCAATTGCACTGTGGCTGTTTTAATTAATTTTTTATGTTTTGGAAACTGGCAGAAAAGTCTTTTGATTGAGGTGGAGTATAATGTGATATATAAATACCAATAAAGAAATTCTTAGAACCCATCCTGTAATTAATATTTTGAATAAAATTGCATTTCTTCACATCCATCCCTTTTTACTATTATATTTACCATTAGTTCCACATTTTTAAAATCTAACAATACCACCAGGACAAAAAGAGCATTTGTCTATAATGGATTCCTGTTTTCCCTTCCTTCTCTCTTCTCATTGGTTATTTTTTGAACATTTGAAACTTACATTATGCTTTCAAGGTAGCTGGATAGGAAAATTTATTTATCATTAAAAGTACCATATATTTATTTTCTAATTCTTTATCAGAGATTTCAAGTTGCAAGGCAAATAGGTTGCCCAAAAAAGGTTGTGCCTTTCTGAGATTCATTTACAACTTTGAAAATGTTCTGGTATCACCAGACAATAATTTTCATGGGAGGCACGTCCAGTATACAAAATACTGGGAGTTATTCTCATTTTTCATTTTCTTTAGAGTCCACACTGCATTTTCCCAGTACAGGTACTCCTCACTTAACATCCATTCCATTCAGCAACTATTCAAAGTTATGGCACTGAATGAGACTGATCCTTGAAGTTCCAGCTGTTCCAATGCCCCTGTGATCATGTGAACAAAATCCATGTCAACTGAGGCCCATCTGCATTTATGACCATCTTTTGGCTACCCACTTCCCGTGGTGTCCATCCAGTCTGCTGCGATGTGCAGACCATCTTCTGTACCAGTCTTCTGTATTGGCCAGGATCTTCTTTCACACTGCCTTTTGTGAAAGTGCAGCCAGGGCTTCTCTCATGCCCCACCAGGGCCTATCCTGAAATAAGGTGCTTTTGTGAAAGAAGGGTCTTCTGTTATGCTGGCATAGCCAGGGCCTTCTTTTCATATGGCAAGGTTCATTTACAAACAGAAGCCCTGGGTGGGGTGAAAACAGAGTCGCTGGATGGGCCGTTAATGGAGGCCCTGGGCAGGGTCCAAGATAATCCCAGTGTGAAAGAAGGCAGCACACAAAAAAAGGCCCCAGCCAGTATAGCAGTGGAGGATGTGATGGAAGCAGGCTGGCCAGTCAGTGGGAGTAATGGATAGATGGGCAGTCAAAAGGGCAGAGATGGGAAGATGGGCGTGTAAGAGGAGTTCAAGAGGAGGTGGTCTCTTTTCTTAGAGAGATCAAAATTGGAAAAGGCCAAGCCAGGAATGCTGTGGATTGAAGTGGATGTTTACCTGAACATCGATGGGATTCGATTAACAAGCGGGTCTGCTGGAATTGCTGTAATGTAAACAGTTACATTACCTTACATCACCCCTTATGAGCGCATCACTTAGTTGTGAAAATTGTGGTCCCAATTACCATTGTTAACCAAGGACTACCTGTACTGGGCTCAGTTAACTATATTCCCTGTCCACCAAAGAAGATTCCTTTTCTCTTTTTTACCCTCCTCCCACCTTTTATGGGCCAAACAAAGTTGCATCCTATAACAAACCACTACTGTATGTTCCTTAAACCATTTAAAAAAAACAGGTGGAGGATAATGTTTTGTTCTGAAGCAATTTGAATTTTTAAAATTCTCTGAATAATTCCACTGAAGATGTTACTTAGCATGGTAATGAAATGTTTGGAAACCAACCCACAAGCTTGGAGAACAAACCTTCACCCTCAATTTTTAAAATTTTGGAAAGGATATAATATTTCTCCAGGTGTTTTGAGATATGGTGGCTTATACAGGTGTCATCACATTGGCATATTCTATAGTCTTTTTTTTAACTTTTAAGTGCCACAAAATTCTTGCTTAAGATAAAAACTGTAGTACTGCCAGCAATGTAGAAAAACAAATTTCCTTCATTAAAAATCTTGAAAAGGTTAATTTTCTTCAGGAAAAAAAAACATTGTAATTTATAAATATAAATGATACCTGAAATGCAGAATATAATGTATATTTATGTTCTGAAAGATGGGTTCATATTTTGATAATTGCATTTACAGCCATTTTTAAAATCCTTTTGCATTTAAATAACCTTACTATTGTTTGGGAAAAGAACTAGTGTAATGCTGGTTAATACCAGGATTTGTTTCTTCATACTCACCTAATCATTTTTTTCAACTATTATAGTTGTCTGTGATATGAATTAAATTAATATTTGGCCCTTACATGGTTAGGCTAAATTGTAACACAATTAAAAATGTATGCCGGAAAGCCTAAATCTCTTTACCTTGCTAAGCATCTCATTCAATGCTTCAGATATAGTCTCTTCTTTTACAATAAGAGGATAGACAAAAGATGACACTTGTGTCAAAATAAGTTTCTATCATGAAGGAATTGTTATTTGAATTAAGAGTCACCTGGGAAATGATAACCCGGGATTCTAAAACACTTGATGTCTTCCCAAATGTATGTTTAATTTCTTGCTGCATCTAGCTATTTATGGTTTATTATAAATTGCCTTGAAAATTCATTGAATGATCAGACAGTTCAAAAATAGTTTGTTTCTGAAATCAGTAAATATCATTGTATAAAATTGGTGTTTTGGAGAATTGAACAAAAGGATGTTTTCTTTGAAGCCCCAAAAGCTATTCAAGTATATTTAAGTTGAATTGAAACAGAACCCATTTGCAGGCTATTTCTTTTGCCCTAATTAAAAAAAAATATATCTGAAAATCTTGTCAAGAAAACTTGAGAGACTAGTCCAGGGACCCAAAGGCATAGTATGTAAGTAAATAAATAATTCCCCAGACCTGCATATTTTCTTTATATGCATGCACAACTCCAATTTGTTGTGGGTAAAGATGATTCTTTTGATATATCTTTTTCTGGAAGGATAGAACTATATTCTCTGCTTCTGTACATGTCCTTTTCTTCCCTGAATACACAGCACTAACACATAAAGTTATACATATATGCAATACTTACCTTGATTCTGCTATTCCTAATATTTTCATTTCCGTACTTTTACAGTTCGATTTCATGTTGCCCATTTATATGAAACCCAGGTAAGTATGTAATACCTTTTGAATATTAAATATAACAATTTGGAATATATCAATGGAGCTAAATTTTGTAATCAAGCTCTTCCACATTAATTCAGAAAATTACATACAGTAGTTATAAGAGGCAAACCAGTAAAACGACACACATTTTTTCTTTCTACAAATAGTTATAATTTGATTTGTATTTTTATTTGTAACAGATCAAACTATTTATTTTTTTACATTTTTGTAATCCAGAAACAAATATATTAAAATTAGCCTATTCTTAAGAACTTATGAAAACTTTTTTGGACTATTTTAAGAATTTCTAGTCCTTTATGGTCCTTAATTTTGCTATGTGATCATTGTTATTTGTTACTGGCTTATTGAATGTAGCACATTGTTGGTACTACTTTGCATTTCCAAAGAAATTTATTTATTGAACAGTCAAAATGTACAAATGTAAACTATGCAACATAGGAAGATAGGAAATCCTTAAATTAGAATGTATTCAAATGACATGTACAAAATGTGCATTTTCAGAGAATATTCAAATCACTTATGTCTTTATTGATCTGATCAATGATACTAATATAGTGGATATTTTTGAACTCTAATTAAACAGCCTGGATAATGATTTATTGCAATGTTCGAATATATTATGTTTAAAAAAACTCAATAATATTGAGTTCCATTTCTGTTTTTTGATAAGTACATATAGGGATAGAAAGCATACCCTTTATATACTTTGGTATATGAAATAATAAAATACACACACATCCTACATTAATTGAGTCTTGAGATTACAGTTAAACATAATAATTATTTTCTCAAATGTTTATCCATTTGTTCACATCTTACTGATTAGCTATATTATATTTTCATACATAGCTATTTTCTGCCCACTTGGTATATTTGGGCAGATTTTGGCAGAGTTGGTGTGGTCCAATCCCCCAATTAAGTGTTGCCATCTTGAGGGACATAAGAAGCAGGCATTTTCTATTTCTACCCCTGGAACTGCATCCCCCCCCCCCTCCCAGAGATATGTAAGGTACCTACTCTCCTGAGGTTCTGGAAGGCCTTTAAGAACTACTCTGTTCCCAGGCCTGAGACTCATGTGTTTATGGAGCCCCTGTGTGTTCTTTTTATTATGATTGGGATTTTTTTTTAAAGTTTGGGCTGTTAGGTTTTGTTATTTTTTAAACTGATTTAACTGTATATTTCAATACTATAAGCCACTTAGATCTTTTGAAGTGGGTAGCCATAATAAATCTAAGTAAACAAGATGATATTTCACAGATCCAAATGGCTGCAATAATTGACCAACTTAGTTGGGCCTAGTGTTAGTCACATATTAAGTAAAAGATATCTTTACAGAATTTTATGGGGCAGAATTGAACAGATTCCTCAGTTGAGGGGTGAGGGAAAGAAATTATTTTTGCTTATTTTCCCCTCCCACTACAGCCTGTATGCCCTCAGAAATCTGTTCTAGATGGTTGGGGGCCACTTTTGCATGTGTTTGACATAGCAGTGAGGGCTGCAGGGGGAAGGGGAAATCAGTGAAAATTGTTTCCCCCTCTTCCACCTGCAGAAGCATCCAGTTGAGGAGGAGCATCCACTGGATCCAACTCACTTCTGGGAACAGAAGAGGCTCTTCCATTTGTGGAGCTGCAGCCCTGGATCCAACCCAGTATGTTTGAATTGAAAAGGCAGATGTTCTAGTTGCTTGACAGTATTTGCTCTGTTTTAAAACCCTGCTTTGATTAAGGGTCTCCTCACTCGTTCCACATCTTTTCCATTGACCTTTACATACCCTGTAAGAGATTTAATCCTAATGAGAAGCATAGAAATTGAGAATCGAAAAATGACAGTGTTAAACATTGAGGAAATTTTGAGTATAATTAGCTTTTGTTTAATTTAATGGATTGCATTTATTCACTTCCATCAATTTATATTAGTTCCTCAGTAATTTATTTTGGATTTGCATATGGGCAATCTAAATTTATTAGATGGACATTGTCATCACCACCTGAGTAGAGCATTAGTAATATAGTAGAATTTGAATAGTTTATATTTAATTAATAGTAAGCTGATAGATCAGGATTCACCAGATTCAAATATTATATTTGAATTTGGTTCTTTAAATAATTTCTTCAACATAAGCATAGTATTCTGCTGCAATGTGTTAGTTGCCATTAACATTCGTATGTATGTATGTATGTATGTATGTATGTATGTATGTATGTATGTATGTAATGTATGTATGTATGTAATGTCAATCCAGCTTCCAGTTTAAAATAACATCTCATTCTCTTTTTTAGAGAAAATATCATTTGGCAAAGAAGGAATATGAACAACTTTTGCAGTCTGAAAATCTTCCTGCACAAGTGAAAGCAACTGTGTTACAACAGTTAGGTAAGTATACATGAAGAAATGTAAGAGTCTTTTTAACATTCCTTACTTTGCAGGACATTGCATTGCATCCAGTTCTCCAAAAATTCAATTTTAGATTTTAATTTTTCATTAGAAAAATACTTGATATTTTTGCATCAGTCTTCTAAATACAAAGATACAGCCTTCAGTTATCTTTTTTCTTCAAATAGTTCTTTTTTCAGTGAAACTTTCAGAATGATATTAATATCCAAAGTAAGTAAATGGAAAATTATTTGTTTACTTTCAAGTCCTTGTTACAGTTGTGGTTTAGTGGTTTTTTTCTATGGTACAATTACAGGTTGATATTGATTATATAAAAATATAGAAAAACAATTGTATAGAACTTTATAAAATATACTAGTATCTAAAATAATTTTTATCCAGAAGTAGTGTATTTGAATTCTATGAAATCAGCTATCAGTGCTGCTATAGAAAGAACTATAGTTTCCTGGTTTGCTACTGGGAACTGAGTCTTAACTGTTTTCTAGGAAGAGCCAAGCTCTTAAAAAAAAAAGAACAGGTGTTATATAGGAATTGCTTCAGCTGTAGCAACTGCACCCAAATAAAGCTTATTAGTAACCTAAAGCAGTGGTCCCCAATCTTTTGGGCACCAGAGACCGGTTCCATGGAGAGAGGTTTTTCCGCAGACTAGAAGGTACGTGGTTTTTTGTGCTGCCTGCATCCCACGGGTGGGGCTTTGCTCGTTCATGCGGATCAGTTGCTGGCATGCTGCAGCCCAGTACTGATCCACGGACCAGGGCTTGGGACCCCTGACCTAAAGCACAACATGAGCCTCTAACCCATGTTAGTTTAATCCTAAATACAGTAATGGATTTCCTTTACAAGTAGTCTAACATTAAGTCTACTATTAATAAAAATGTTTCCTCTCTCTGATATAAATTATTGTAATGAATTCAGGATCTCTGTATCTATTGTGTATCTATTTCTATAAGTTACCTTTTAATGGCGAGTTAAATCTTACAATGATATACTTGTTCTTGGTTTTAATGTTATATTTATGATTATTTATATTTCCCTAATTATATGTTGCCTTTCTCCCTTACATACACATAAACTCTCTTATAGGAGAGTTTGTATTGAATAATTGTTATAGTTTCCATTTGTTCTGATAAAGCAAATGAAAACAAGAGAGAATTGTAAGAAAACCTCCAGTGGTTCACTGATAAAGATGCTCAGATTTAAGCAGAGTGTGTTTTTGTCTGCCATTTAGATACCTTTTATAGTGCTTGTTTTCTGTTGGATTGGTAAAATAAATATCTATGTTAAGTATATTTATTGGAAGGTTATACACATAATAAATAAAATAATCTGGTTCATTATAAAACATAAACACTAAATAATATATATATATGTTTCTTTTCTTAGGCTGGATGCATCATACAGTGGATCAATTAGGAGATAAAGCCACCAAGGAAAACTATGCTATTCAGTGTCTCCAAAAGTCTCTAGAGGCAGATCCAAACTCTGGCCAATCCTGGTATTTCCTTGGAAGGTAAGAATGAATTATGATAACAAAGTTTATGGTTCAGCAAATATATAGGTAAAAGAAGCAAATGCCTGATTTATATAATAGAGTAATGTTATTTTATACAATTAGTATATTTTATAGAATTACTCCTTGAAGCATGGTGGTTCAATGGCTTAAAAGATGCCAGAGAAGGTCTATGCTCTGGCTGTTCAAGTCCTACCACCGCTGATGGCATGAGCTTGCCTCAGCTCTTGCCAACCTAGCAATTCAGAAGCATGTAAATGCAGTAGATTAATAGGTCCCACTTCAAAATGTTCTGTGTTTTGTCATGTGCTCTGCATTGCGACATGATGTCCTGCCGGCCATGCAGAAATGTCTTCAGACAGTGCTGGCTCAATGGCTCAAAGAAACAGATAAGTCCATCCCCTAAAATAAGCTATGACTAGTGGAGTAAAACTCACAGGGACACCACAATTGGTTAATTAATGGTAATTGAGTCCAGAGAATCTGTTGCTAAGCAATGCAATAGTAAAGTGTGGCATCATGTGACTGCGTAGACCTACAGCGGTAATTTTATTTGTGGCTGTTAGGTGAATCCCATGCAGTCACAGTGTTCCACAATCACATTATCCCCATTTGTGACCTCCTATCAAGTCCCCCATTGATTTTGTTTGTTGGAAGCCAGCAGTGAAGGTTGCAAATGGTGGTCATGTGACTGCAGGACTCTGCAACTGTCGTAACTGCAAGCCAGTTGCTATGAATTGTGATCATGTGACCACGGGGATGCTGCAAAAGCTGCAACTTTGAGGACCAGTTGTAAATCTCCTCATTCAAGACTGTCATAACTTTGAACAGTTACTGAAGACATGGTTGTTAACCAAGCCTATCTGTGGTTTGAAGACAATTATTTTGTAGAAAAATGTTCAATACTGATAATTTTTTGTAATAAGCCTCTAATTGTTCAGAATAACTATAGAGATGAACTCATTAGCAAAACTACATGTGGCTACTTAGAGATAAGTTTATGTGATCTTTTTTTAAAATTTGTCTCAAGTACTGTTCTTTTGCTATTTGATCTACTGTCATCCTTTAAATTTGTGAAACTTCCAAATTTTAAGTCAAATAATGGCAATTATACAGTCGTGGCAATTCATACTCAAGACTTGCTAAGCCTCTTGTTCTTGTATATTAATTAGGCGGCAAAAATAAGAAAGAACTGATTTATATTTTGAATTTCTTCTTCCAGCTTATTTGTCACTTTGAATAGTGAATGATAAAACAAATATTCTGGAATCCTCCAGATATTTTCAAAACAAACCCTTTACTATCATAGCTTGTTATGTTCAGAAGCAAGGGATAGCTGATTCTTATTTGATGACTATAAAATAGTTCAGTAAAGAGTCTGTTTTCTTCAATTTTTCATTGCTAGTTTCTGACAGTCTTCCTGTGCCTATGTAGAGATAGTCCTCGACGTACGACCTTTCCTTTAACAATGTCTGAAGTTACCACAATCCTAAAACAAAACAACATATTGCAATGGCCCCATGGTCATGTGACTGGGATTCAGGGGCTTGGCAACCATCATGCATCTATGGCTATTGTAGTATCTGGGACTGCCAGTTGCGACCTTCCCAGCCAGCTTCCAACAAGCAGATTCATTGGGAAATCCATTAGGAAGGTTGTAGGTGGGGGTCACATGATGTATTAATGACATCAGCAAAAAATAATAAAATTGGATGTGATGCCTCTCCACTTAATGAGCTGTAATGACAACTCAATGAAGAATTTTCCAGTCTCTATTGGAGTTACAAATCAAGGACTATCAGTCTTGCTGTATTAAGTGCAAATTAATCTGTCATTTTATTATTTTATTTGCTTAATAGTCTGCAAAATGTATGAAAATACTCCTGATGGTTTATATTCTATTCCTATTTTAATGATTAATTGTATTCTAAAATAAGATCACTGAATTCTATATTTTAAATTAATTTTGTGTAGCCTTAGTTATGAGGTCTGGAACTAATTTCTTCAATTTAGTTTAGGGGAATAGAAATAAAAGACAGATTTTCCACATAAAATATTGGTTGTTTTCAGTTCATATTTTGTTCTAAACTGATTCTCCATTTATTATGTAATATTGGCAATTATTATAAGTAGATAACTTATGAATGACGCATGCAATTGCCATTTGTATTTCATAGAAATTTTTTGATGGTTGCAAGTTTCTGGTAAAATTGATTCTGATGAAATTGATAAGATAAATTGAACCAGATAGCAAATTGTAAGAATACATGAATTGTAATTAATCCATGCAATATTAAAAGCAAACAATTATAAAATCAGCCTCTCTATTTGTTTTTATCCATCTTTTCTTTCAGGTGCTATTCAAGTATTGGGAAAGTTCAGGATGCCTTTATTTCTTATAGGCAATCTATTGATAAATCAGAAGCAAGTGCAGACACATGGTGTTCTATAGGGTAAGAGATTATGAGAGAAGCACCTGAAGGGAGGACAAGAAGCAATAGATGGAAACTAATCAAAGAAAGAAGCAACCTAGAACTAAGGAGAAATTTCCTGACAGTTAGAACAATTAATCAGTGGAAGTTATGAATGCTCCAATACTGGAAGTTTTTAAGAAGAGACCGGACAACCATTTGTCTGAAATGGTATAGGGTAGTGATGGCGAACCTATGGCATGTGTAACAGAGGCAGCACTCAGAGCCCTCCCTGTGGGCATGCATGCTATTGCCCCAGCCCCGCCTCCCCCTGCAGCCCCCTTCTCACTATCAGCCCCCTCAGAGGAGAGTCACCTCTGAGCGTGGTCCGCGCGGAGCAGCACAGCCAAGGACATGGCAGCAGGGACAAGACTCTGCCCTCATGCCATGTCACGCGCAGTTGATGCTGTGGGGTGCGGGCGGAGGGTGTGGCTGACATGGCACTGCTGGCCCGCCTGGGTGATCTGCGGTGGGCTGTGGAGGTGGTGGGTGGCCCTGCAGGTGGGCGGGGGAACAGAGCGGGCAGGAATGGGGCGGGGGCGGTTTTTGGGCACTCGGTCTCACTGATAAAGGGTTTTCTGCCTGAGCAGGGGATTGGACTCGAAGACCTCCAAGGTTCCTTCCAAATTATTATTATTATTATTTAATGTAACAAAATTTAATATAATTCAGCAAGATGGTTTTTAATAGATGTTTTATCATATAAGTATCTTAGAATAGTTTTTATGAAATATAAAGTTATTAGAATGTCTTATGCTAGATATACTTCACATCTAAGATATATATATTCTCAAAGTTAATGTTAAGGCTAACTTGTAGGCAAAATTTACTGAGTACTGTACAATATAACTTCTTGTTTAAAAAGATGCTTGAAGTACTTCCAAACGTTCCATTATAGTAAATTGAGGTTTGATAGCTTTATTGTTCTAGAGCAGACATGTCAAACACAAGGCCCGGGGGCTGAATGCGGCCCGCGAAGTGGTTTCATGTGGCCCGTGAAGCCATCCTGGAAACAGTGAGGGAACGGCCCCCGCTGCCTTGGCCCTGGCCCAAGCCAGCCAGGAGCCAATGTACAATTTTGTGGTGGCCATCTTGGCACTTGCCCCAGTGAACGATGCCTTGGCACTTGCCCCGGTCCCATCCCCTTCTGACAGAAACCCTCAGATCTGTCCCACTCCTACCCAGGCCCCCCATAGGCACCCTTAACGCGAATGATGTAGAACTGGCCACGTCCACCCAGTAGGCTATACCCAGTCCATCCACACCCACCCATTAGGCTGCACCCACTCTGGCCACACACACCCCAGGGCAACCGCAATGCTGATGTGGCCCTCAGTGAAATTGAGTTTGACACCCCTGTTCTAGAGAATTATGTTTATCACTTCTTTAAGTACAAGTTGAGACAAATGATGAAACTTTGGATATTATTTTATTTAGAATTGAGTATTTGTCTTTTTAGTGTGCTGTACCAACAACAGAATCAGCCTATGGATGCATTACAGGCCTATATCTGTGCTGTACAATTGGACCATGGCCATGCTGCAGCCTGGATGGATCTTGGCACCCTCTATGAATCCTGCAATCAGTCTCAGGATGCCATTAAATGCTACTTAAATGCAACCAGAAGCAAAAACTGTAGTAATACCTCTGCACTTGCAGCACGAATAAAGTATTTACAGGTAAAAACATGGTCTTAAAATAGGGATCTATTTAGCAATAACATTGAGTTAGAAAGGAGGAGGAAAATAAGGATACAGACATATTATATGTGATTGTTTCATGAGCTTCACAGTCTGTTTCCATATGCATTCAGGACATGCCATAGCTTGCAGTTTCATTTGATTTTTCATTTTAAGTGGTTCTCTATTCTTAAGTATTCTTTTTTGTATCTTGATATAATTTATGCATATTTTGTGTTGTCTACATTTTAAGTTATCATAGCATTTAGTAAGAGTATACACACACTATCTTTTGCTCTTGGTAGCAACTTCAGAACCAAAGGATGAATGAGACCACTGAAATCAGAGCTCAGTTTTGTTCCAATTCTCACAAAGGTTTATATCTGGTTACCCTCTTTATCCTTAGCATTTCTCTGAAGTCCCAGATTTAAAATTGATCCTTTCTAAGACATAATAGAGTACAGAATTTAGGAAAATTTCATGGACTTGATCTTACTAAATTAGGCTTGTGTTAAATTCACTTTTTACATAATTTTTCCTAGGCTCAGTTGTGTAACCTTCCACAAGGTAGTCTACAGAATAAAACTAAATTACTTCCTAGTATTGAGGAGGCATGGAGCCTACCAATCCCCGCAGAGCTTACCTCCAGGCAGGGTGCCATGAACACAACACAGCAGGTGAGAAGTTGGGTTATGTTCTGCAGGTGCCCAGCTTTTTAAGGGTTCTTTTCAATCAATCATTCGTAGTAGTCAAAATTATTTTGCTGTAGCACAGAGTTAGTTTTCACTGGTAATAAGACTTAATAGCAGAGGGAGATTAAGAAACCTCCCTGTCATAGAAGAAATATGGGGGTACCATTTTAGAACCTTTGTGGATTTCATAATTATCACGAAGATATCATCCCACATAGAATTTGCAGCAGTTTTTTGTCTATCTGTTTTGAAAACAAACTCATGAAAGGTACACACTACTTCTTTGATACTATGAAATTGATTTTTAGTAAATAAGTTCAGAGTAAATTCACAGCCCTTTTTAAAATGTACAGCTGGTAAAAGATATTATTCAAGGAACAATTTAAAACGAATAGAACCATATTTTCTCTCCCTCTGATTCCTAGGCTTGTAAACCTCATCAAAATACTGAACCTGTACTAGGCCTCAGTCAGACACCTATTTCACAGCAGTTGCCACTACACATGATTCCTTCTAGCCATGTAGATGACCTATCCAGTCCAGCCAAGAGGAAAAGACCATCTAGTCCAACCAAGGTATATATACTCATATAAGAGCCCCACTTAGTTTCAAGAATCAGCCCTTCAGAAGAATTAGGCCAATTACCAAGATAGGTCTTTATAATAGTTATAATATTCACAACTGTGACATTGGTGTAAGAGTAGTTCACCATTACAATAGCTATAATAGTACATAGCAGAAGGTATGAAAAGGGCCGTGCCATTTTTTTCTATCATCTTTGCTTGTATTTAGAATGCTGAATCATCACATGGATGGTATCGCAGAAACTAAAATGAATTTTGGTGAACTTTGAAATATATATCATTTGGTTTTATTTAATTATTCATCATAATTGGTTGTTCTTGTTGTTTTTGCATTATCTCACATTATTCTATTAACTAATATGTTATTGTATTTAGCAGTATTTTACTGTTTCTTTAAGAATCGATTTGTAGTGAGCACCATTGAGACAATTTGAATTTTAGATACTCTACTACCAGTACTCTTATTATTGTTGTTATTGTTATTAATTGTTTTTAGAACACTTTAGAGACTTGGAGCAGTGGCCATACAGTGTCACATCCTCCTCCGGTACAGCAACAAATACATTCTTGGTGCTTGACACCACAGAAATTACAGGTGAAGAGTTTTGTGTGTTTGTTTTTTTACTTAATACCATATACTATAAAATCAGCATGTTCACATCTTTCCTCGTGACTTAACTATTTTTTTTCTGATGTATTTGCCTTTTTAGTGTATGTATGTGTGGATGTGCTTGTATTAATAAATGTTTTTGTATTTATGTATTTGTTTTCCTCTTCTGAGACATTTAAATTAAATCATAAAATTATTACTATTAGTTTTTCTACACATTGTGCATATTACTTGAAAGCACTATATTTGTATGAAAACACATTGTATTGTTATGACAAACATGTCACAAAATAGTCATTTCATATAGTGCTTTTGCTCTGAGAATACTTTTTTGTGGGGTATAATTTTGATACCCTACAAAATAACTGAAATACTCAAAAGTTATTCTTGGTATACTGAATCAAAAAAATGGACAGCTCTGGTCTTTTAACTGGCTAAATGCCTTTTTTAAACCAGGATTTTTTTCTCTCAAAGTAAGGGGATTGACAGAAAAAAAGAACTGTAGAGATAGATGTAAAGCCATCAATGTTTATTGTTATATATAGTGTACAGTGTGGAATTCTCTGTGAAACATCATGAATTTTGCAAAGACTTAATGTCAGCATCTGTCATCAAAATTAACAACTTTGTTATTATATAAACTGTCTCGTCATAAGGAATTCCATTTGGAACTGTCCTGATTTGAGTAGTTTTTACTTTGTTATTGCATAACTGAAAAAGTTAAAACTTTAAAAAGATGGTTTTAAAAGGAAAGTAAATAAGGAGATATATTAGTCATATTGTGATAAGAGATATATTTTTATTTCTTTTTCAGCACTTGGAACAGCTGCGTGCAAATAGAAATAGTTTAAATCCAGCACAGAAGCTTATGCTGGAACAGCTGGAGAGTCAGTTTGTCTTGATGCAGCAACACCAGCAGGTGCCAGCAAACACATTTACTTTGCAGATTGTCTTATGAAATGAAATTGGTTGGACATTTAAATTCTAGGATTTTAAATATTTATGACTGTCTTAGTCATTCTTGGTCAGTGTTGTAAGTGTGGAAAAAAGGATGGATGAATAAATAGATTAAATATATTAAAAGGAATTCATATAGTGAATTAATATAGACTTATTTTTTCACAGAGGCAATGAAATAATATAGTGCCATTATTTATTCTTCAATTACTGACATGGAAGTAGTACACATTCATAATATGGCATTTATTTTTTGTCATTAATTTTGAACTTAAATAGAGATGCTAAAGAATTTGGTGAAGTAAAACCTCAAAAGTGTTATTTTACTATTCCTGTCTTTATAAGATGACAAGATATCTACCTGAAGCATAGGGTTTTTTTAAATGAACATGCATACTTTTGCATAATAATTTTATCAAAAAAAATATGTCTGGCTTTAACACTGTATTCTTTCAGAAAACCTGGGGTGAACACTTTAAATTGAGCCATACACTGCTCCTGGCTGTATCACTTATTCCTGAATTCTGCTGGATTGTTACTATGTTTTACTGTGCTGCTGCAGCATTTATTTTATTTTTGCCAACATAGCATCATTACTTGACAAGTACATTGTTGTGCATTACAAGTACACAATGAATGAAGAATGTACAAAAATGCAACTTTTGCCTATAAAATATGCCAAAGAGATAACAATTTTTTTTCATTGTTACTGCTCAATTTAATCTTGCTCAGACAGAATGATTGTATAATTTTGCACTGTCTTTTATAGGACATACCTTTATATTCATAAACTTTAGAAGAGCATAGTTTGGGCTTTAATACCTGCTCCACCAAAAATGCTTGAAGAAATTATAACTTGAAATAATTTGCCTATCTTCTTAAACATTTTATTCCCTTTTTGTTAGATGAGGCAGATGGGAGTTGCACAGGTACGATCTACTGGAATTGCTAATGGGCCAACAGCTGACTCATCACTGCCTACAAACTCTGTCTCTGGTCAGCAGCCACAGGTTGCTCTAACCAGAGTGCCTAACATCACACAGCACGGAATCCGTCCAACCTGTCTTGGGCAGCCTATGGCAAATGGACCCTTTCCAGCAGGCTCAGTTCCCTGCAGCACAGCCAGAACGCTGAGTAGTACAGACACTATTTTGATAGGCAATAATCACATAACAGGAAGTGGAAGTAATGGAAACGTGCCTTACCTGCAGCGAAACGCACTCTCTCTACCTCATAACCGCACAAACCTGACCAGCAGCGCAGAGGAGCCGTGGAAAAAACAACTATCTAACTCCACTCAGGTAAATGATATATTGATTTAATTTTTAATAGAAAAATGCTGATACAAAAATATAACTTTATTTTCTATATGTAGTTCAGAAGAATATGAACATCTGAAAATATTAAATAGTTTTTCAAAGTCGTTAATATATGTTACTAAGTACCTTTTAAAATGGAACAGTTTATAGGATGCTTACAGATGTTTAAACAAAGCATGAATCCCATAGCATCTCTATAACAAAATAATTTCCTCAGGGCCTTTCTATATAAATATAGCGGCATTCAAGAACATAATTTTTAGCATAACATTTATTGATAATCAGAACATGAAATATTTGAATCATCAGATGATAATTGTATATACTAATAAACAATTGAGTAAATTCATTGTTTTAGAATTTCTCAGTATTTTTATTCAAGTATTTATATATTTTAAATAATGAAAATTTAAATTTCTAAAAGGAAAAAAAAATCACATAGGAAATGTTTGCCAAGAAAATACAGTAATTTTTTCTTTTTGAAAACTCAAAATAAGATATCAGTTTTCTTATTTACACCTATTAAAACAGAAGTATGTCTTTGAAAAGTAATATGATTTTCTTCTACCAATACAAAATGGGTTTAATCACAAAAGTAATTTATTTGCTATATCAGTTTTCATGGTAGAAACATACTAATGAAATTCTAAGCATAATGAAAAAATTAACCAAAGAATTTAAGGGGATTGATTTGGAAGGATTTTACTTATCATTGAACTTTACTCATGTATGTACTAAATATTGAGCTTTGAATTTGTTTGTCTTAGAGAATTCATAACGATACATTTGGCATTTAATTAACTAACCACATGTCTCTATAGATATAGTTCCAATTGGATATCTGAATGTAAGCAATCAAGACATTCCTTCATTCAGTAGACATGTTATTTCTGTATTGGATATTAGTATATTTCTACCTTGTGATTTTTCTTTTTTCAGTTTCAAGGAAAAACTAGACAACCCATGCCGGGTCATTGTTTCAGAGATATTTCCATACCAGATTCCTCAATGTCTTCAACAATGGTAGAGCTTCTAGTGTACTTGGAAAGTTCTTAAAAATTCAGGGAAATATTCAGAGATGTATTTGGCTTGAAACCAGGCCATATTGAACTTTATAGCACAATCAAACATCACCAGAGAAAATGTTTTATGACATTTTGTATTATGTCAAACTGTTGTTTTATAATTTTTGTCATAAAATATTTTATAAAATTTGCCAAATTTCAATTTCATGGGAGTCACGGGTCCCAGATTTTGGATTCATTCCATATGTTATAGACCATTTAAAATATAAACTGCTTTATGAAAATGTTTGTGTTATGAAGTGTTTTATAAAAGTTGCCAAATTTCATTTCCATGGGACCCATTCTGTAGGTACCTTGGTTCAAAAAATGTTTCTGCCCTGTGGTGCACCATTTTGCCTAGTTAAACAGTACAGGAATCAAATTTTTAATGCTGTGTAGAATACATAAGTAATTTTATGAAGTGAAAGCCATATGTATATGTTTTATATTCAGGTATAGTGTAAAATTTTGATATTTTACTGAGTAAATTGGAAAGAAGTACAGCAAAAGGAAAATTGGTTCCCCCTATATGGGCTTTAATGTAAAATTATATTTGTTTAAGTTGACTGCTTTACAGTATGATGAAAGCAAGGAAAAAAGTTTTAGTTTTTAAGTCAGTTAAATTGAATGGTAAGTTGGAATCTTATTTGCTTTTGACCTAAGTAAATCCTTGCATCTTGAATGTAGCTTGGAGTGATTACAAGAAGGTATTTAATTCCCTGCCACATGATTGGATAATCAAGTGCCTTGAAATAACATGAGTAAGCAGGAACATCAGAAGCTTTGTGTAAAGATCAGTAGCACAATAGAAGAAACAGTTGATGATCAGTGGTGATAGACTGGGAGAGATTAATATCAAGAGAAGAAACTTTCAAGGAGACTCACTATCAACATTGCTGTTCGTCATTGCTCTGAACATGTCAGGTCAAAGCAAAAACATTTTCCAAGCTATTCCACTTCTTTTATATGAAGCTGTATGGAAAAATGCTATCTGAAATATAATCACTGCTTAACACTGTCTGTATATACAGTCAAGATATTGCAGTGGAATTTGGACTGGACAAATGTGTCACCTTTATCACCAATGGGAAAAACAGTGAAAACTGAAGGAATCAAGATGCTCTAGGGAAACAAGAGTCTGGATGAATATGATTACTATAAATACCTGAGCATCCTTCAAGCTCAACATCAAGTACACTAAAATCAAGAAGAACTTTGAAGTGAATGCATCAAGAAAGTGAATAAGATCTTAAAGTCCAAGCTCAGAGAAGGAAATTGAAGACGATAAAGAGGCATTTGATCAGAGATGTACTGAAGCTAGTATACCAGGAAACCTTACTGAGTACTGGAGAGACCAAACTGGCCTATAAGAAAGACCAAATGAAGAATAGAAAAGAGACATGGCAAGGCAAAGTTTTACAAGGCCAATGCGTTAAAAAAATAGCAAGCAAAACAGATAATAGCAATACTTCGCAATAGCTAAGAGCAGGAAAATTGAAGAAAGACAGAGGGATTGGTTCTGGCTGCACAAGACCAAGCCTTAAGAACAGATGCATACAAAGCCAGAATTGAAAAGACAGCAACAGGAAGCAAATATTGCCTCTGCCAAGAAGCTGAAAAAAAACAGTAGATCACTTAGTTATCTGCTGCAAGATCACACAGACTGACTACAAACAATGATCTGACAAAGTATCAACAATGTTGTCTTGGAATATCTGCAAGAAATGCTGTTTGTCTGTAAGCAAGATCTGGTGGGACCACAAAGTAGACAGTAATAGAAAATGAAGAAGCTAAAGTATCCTGGGACTTTAGAATTCAAACAGACAAGCAACTGCCACAAAATACATCACACGTAACTGTTGTCAATAAAAAAAATACCAAAAAGCTGGATAGTAGTCATAGCATTACCTGGAGACAGCAGAATAGAAGAGAAAATCTGGAGAAAATCACAAAATATAAAACCTGCAAATAAAAGTAGAACAACTATGACAAAAGAAAGCAAAGGTAGTGCTAATAGTGATAAATGCCTTGATTCCAATCCCCAAACAACTGGAATCCCACTTGAACACCATCAACATTGACAGAATCACCATCAGTCAATTGCAAAAGGCAACTTTCTTCCTGCAATGATATTTTTAACACCATCAAAGAACAACATCTGCCTATCCTAGGTCCTTGTGAAGGACTCAGTATATGGATAAAAATGCCAAACCTTTTAAACATGTGGTAACTTTACAACAAACCATAATAACAGTTACCAAAATAATTCATTGAAACATGTAAAAATTATCCTATACCAACTAATGAAAAATTGATGAGAAAATAGATTTGAAATAGTAGTTGAAAATAAGCAGGTTAAAATATTGTGGGATTTCTGAATACAAACTGTTAAAGTCTTGGCTTATAACACAGTAGCTATAACTGTGGTTTAAAAGAAGAAAGTATAGATAATTGGCAATAGCAGGGGACAGCAGAATAGAAGACAGAGAATTAGGGAAGGTTACAATGTATTCAGATCTGAAAATCAAAATTGAAAGATTCTAGCATAAATCAGATGTTGTTCAGTGGTTATTGACCCACTGGGTGTCATACTAAAAAATCTTGGAGATCACTTAGAAAATCTGTGCATTGACAAATATTTCATGTGTCAATTGCAAAAGGCCACATTACTTGGATCTGCATACTATACTGATACATTATTACTTCCTAGGTTTTGGGAAGAACTCCTTTTGCCTAAGGCCAATACCAGCTCAAGAACTAGCACCTGTGACTTTATATTATTCTGAACAGATAATTTAAAAAATACTAACTAGATATTTTTTCTAGAGTATTCTATCTGGTTTACCAATAATTTACCAATAGAAGTTATTCCACAATTTATTTGCCTATAACCTCAATTTGCTAACGAATTATGCTCTTATTTGCAGTTATCTAAATGCAGAATCTGCCTAAATGGTGAAGTTGGTACAGCTAGATAATTTTCAATGCATACTGAAATAAAATTACTTTAGGCAAGTGATTACTCTGTGTTTATGCGAGGATATAGTCCCCTCTTTATTACAGTTTAAATCCAGTGCTGTTTTTTTCCTCCTTTCCCACTGTCTGGTGGTCACCTTGCTTTGTGCTTCTCAGTCATTTTGCTAGGTAGTAATGAATTGTTCATATAATCATGTAACTTACATCATTGTCCTCTTTATTACACCTCCTCCCTCTCTGGGGGTCTGAAAGATCAGAAACCACTCCCTTCTGATACAGAATGTTTTTCCTCCCTCTGGACAATAGCAAAATTCCCCTGTTCAGAGCAGCATAAATGGACGGTGTGTAGTTTTTGTCTTCCTCAGTCTTTGTTGCTAAAAGTTTCTCTTTGGCTGCAACAACAAAATTATTGCTTTAACATGAACTTCTGTGTGTAATTATCTAAAGATAGCTGGATTTTAACCTCCAGTAGTTGGGTCTGCTAGAAGCATACCATAAATAGTAGCCTATGTCATGAATCAGGAGTTTGGGCAACTTGTAATTTTTGAGAACATGAATAAATGGCCATTTTCCTTAGTAAAAGAAAAGCCATGGCAAAGAATGAAGGGGTCCCCAACATTTTGGGCACCAGGGACCAGTTCCGTGGAGAGAGATTTTTCTCCAGCATGACGAGTGGAGAATCCACCAATGAGTTAGCTTCATCCTCTGCCTGTAGAGACTAAGTCAGCCAAGTTGCATGCCTCTCTCCCTGGACCAGGAACCCAGTCACGACTTAGTCTTTTGCCCGAGAGGACACATTTGCTTGGCTCTAGTCCAGTGGTTCTCAACCTTTTTATACGGCGACCCCAGTCATAAGGATGTGGCGCGCATGCGTGGGGCCGCCCCCATGCATGGTGCGCATGCGCAGCGGCGCCCCCTGAGGGAAAAAAATGGCAGATCGCG